AAATTGATATTACTTGATTAATCCTAGTTAAAATCACAACTAATTATTAAAATTAATCATAGTTTGTTTGTTATTCTCTAATGTATCTTAAAAACATATTTGTGTGATGATAAATTGAGATAGTATTTTTGTGAAAAAATGCATCTCTCTATGGATGAATTATGTCGTGTATAGATGTTTGCACCATTTCAGGCATGATCGATAAATATGTTGCCAGGAAGTTATACATCCTATTGTGATGCAAAAAATATCTCTAGAGATGTTTGTAGAACGCACAATTGTTTACATTGTGAGTAAGTACATAAAAACCCTTACAATATATGTAAAATCCTGATTCTTTTAGTTCATGAAAAATGAAAGAAATAAAGCAGGGTCAATAAAATCCTAAGAAGATGTTTATTTCCACAAGAATTTCAGTATGAATTAATATAAAATGAAAGTAGCAATTGAGTTTGACGTAAACTTTTAGTTTGATGTACAATGTTTAGATTTAGATTTGTATTTGTTTGGGGCCATTTCTATTTTAAGTGTTAAATTGTTTTCAAAACAATTCACTATTATTTTTCTCCTCTATGTTTACTATTGGCAATGACTTCACGCAAGGACGTATCTGGTACTCCGACACTTTACGGACTCCCCGTACTCCCAAATATAACTTATGGTAAAAATAATAAGAGTCTAAGAAAAATGACAACATAGATATAATATATGACAAGCATGTGGTAGAATTCATATCCAAATTGAAATGCAAATCATACAATAGAAAAACAAAAATATATTAATAGTAGAATGTTCAAACCTTTTCTTTTATTCTCCCTGGTACAATACAAGAGGTGAATTCTCCACCGATCTTCATTAACCTGGATCTGTACATGATTGGCTAATTGATACAATTATGTTAGTCACAATCTCTGGAACTAAAGCACGGTCCTTTCTTGAGAGATTGATCTACCTGGTGGCCTATATTTATTTTAGTCCAAACACTTCCTACGTTCACTAGCAGTGACAATGGTTCCAGACAACACAAAGCAGGAGTGACAATGGTTCTTGATTTCGGATTCGGAGAACAAGCATATATGTTGGTTGAATGGATATATCACTGAATTTGGGGAAGAGCACTCCCATACTTTGATCTTTGCTGTTGCAGCCATATCCCGTCCTTGATCTTCTTAGAGAGGTGGACAACCTGCTTGTGCGTGAGGAACTCCTTGCTGACGGTGCCGCGGAGGTAGATGCGGTTTCTGCTCTGTAGCAGCTCGGGGCTGATGCTCAGGTGCACGGCGCCACTGCCTTTCTTGGACCTCCAGCGCCTCCGACCGCTCATCCGCCACTGCCTCGCCGAGCCGCCCGAGCGCGCGTAGGCAACTAACATATGCATGCAAAGTACACCCCCTGTTCCTAAATGTAAACTGTCAAAACGTCTTATATTTAAAAACAAAGGTAGTAAATATCATTAAGCAACCTTATTGTCGTCCTTGATCTGAGCATGACCTTTTCTTTTCTTGAAAGAAGCATTCAAAAGAGCCATGACCAGAGGTCATACACGAGTTTAGTGGAAACCGAGAGCTTCCACATACAACTTTGTAGAGAGTTACAGGAGGTTTAGGGAAAGGTGAAACACAAGGCAGAAAGTTTAGTTGCCTTAATTAGCAGCAAAACTCAAAACTCAACTTTGAAGCCTCTGAGACGACAACAATAACAAGTTAACGACGCTTTGTCCGTTTGACGCCATGCCCAGTGGCTCCATAAGCTGAGAAGAAGCTCAGCCGCGTAAGTGCATAACATCCATGGTGGCCATTTTCCTGTTGTTGAAAGTGCGATCATTCCTGGCTTGCCATGAAAGCACAACACTGGCAAGAAAAAGTACACACCACATACGCCCAGAGCGTTTGCCTTCACTGATGTGTTTTAGCGGCCCATTTAGGCGTCCTTGAAAGCAAGCCACGGAAAGACCCTGTGCTTTAGAGGAATCACCTGTTAGGAATTAAGCCAGGATCAATGCCCTCACAGCGAGGCGACGATGAACACGAGCTCTACACACGCGATCCCGTGGAACACACAGAGAGGGAGAGCAGTTTTGCGACGCACTTCCCAGCGTCTTTTCTGGGCTTCTTTCTTCTATGGAAAAGGTTTTAAATCAGTCAGATGATTTCTCGCGTTGGTAAGCCGCGTCCAGTGCCGTCTGATCCCACCCGATCGTGTGGCCTGAAGCGCCTCTCTATCAGTTTCTTGTGACCTGTATTAGCTAGGTAGCGTCCCCGACTCACCGTGTCTATCTATTTTTTGACGCCTTCGATGCCCTGTAGTATATATGTAGCGTCCCGGTGACCTGCGTCGGTTTCTTCAGTGCTAAATGAGGACTGTGAACATCATGCACTTTACAAGCAGTGTTTTTGCCAGGTAGCGTCCCTGTGACTTGTAGTATGTAGCGTCAGTTTTCGTCCCTGTGACTATACTTCACAAGCAGTGTTTTTACCAGGTAGCTACGCATGTGATGGTACAAATAATCTCAAAAGCAAGCACATAGCAAGTGCTAAATGAGGACTCTGAACATCATGCATCTTCTGGACGCTGATCATGGACATTGGTTTTGATTTGGTACTATATAGCAAGCAAATGAAGTTAAGGTTGCCTTTGATGCAGGGGTTGTTGACACCGCTGCTGCCACCTTCAAAGCATGCTATCGCAACATCACCGGAGCAGCCGGGCCGCCATCGCCGCATTGCATTGTTGCGGCCATTGAAGCACGCTGTCACACACTACTAGAAAAAGGCGTATCCCCAATATTTCTACTGTCATGGTGCGCCA